AAACCCTAGGTTTGATCAAATTACTCCAAAAAATCCCACCATTGTTACACAATCACAAATAACTAAGCTAAAAACCATATGAGAATGTAGAAAAATCCCTACCTCAAAGGAAGAAGATGAGTCAAGCAAGAGTGAGACTCCAAGAAAGACGAAACCCACTTTTAATCGGATCAAAATGAAGATCTTGATGCACTCTATCTTTTTCTCAAAGGCATTAAAATGGAAATCCCAACGGATCTAGATGAAATCTTAGAGAGAATGTGAGTTTTAGAGAGAGAATGTATAGATCTAGGTTTTTGGAAAGTTTTAGAGAGAGAGAGAAGAAAAAGTGATTCAAAATGTTATCTTTACGTACTGATATACACGCAGTCCACTCGAGCATGGAAAGTGATGCTCGAGTGTCAGACACAAACGTCTGCTCGAGTGCAAGAAGCGAAACTCGAGCGTAGAATACACATTTCCAAAAGTTTTGCAGATAAAGGACCCTGCTCGAGCGTGAGAATGGATGCTCGAGTGTCCAATGCACTCTCTTAGTATTTACAGAACTGCAAAAATAATGAAAGTTGATGACTCCCACTCGAGTGCAAGAATGGCCTCTCGAGCGGAGGAGCAAAATTTGTGAAGCCCGCTCGAGCGCATGAATTCTCGCTGGAACAGAGCAACCAAAATCTGGACAACAAAGGTTTGAAAAAAACACGCAACCAACCTATTCCAAACGTACAACTACAACCCAATAACCAAAATATAGGAGAAATAAGGGAAGCAAGATATGAATAACTATTCTAAATCATACCAACTCGAATCTAGAATACAATAGATAACGGGTCAAAACCGGAATTGTAATAGCAGAGAGAATGAAAATAAAGAAGGTAAATGGGCATTAACATCATTTTACATTTATTATTAACAACGTTAGTATTACTGTTTAGTTTAAAACGTAAGAGAGGTTTTAGCTATTTTCAAATGTAAGGGAGGTTAAATACTCCAAGACAATACTACAATAAGGTAAAATAGATTTTACCCTGTTAATTATTAAAATTATAATTTTTAACATGAAATTGTAATCATTTTTTAAAAGTATCACCGTGTGATAATGTATATTATATATATATATATATATATCTGAGTGTATAGATCTGTTTATTTTAGATCTGTATATTTGAGTGTATAGATCTGTTTCTTCAACCTCTATTTTTTTTCCTCTAAATTTATTATATATATATATAAATATATCTGTTTATATATTTCTTCAACCTTTGTTTATTTGTTTAGATCTTTTTTTTTATATGTTGTTGAAGAGGATGATGTTGATGAAATTTAATTCATTATAAAAGTTGAAAGTTGAAATTTCATTATGCTTCATTATGATTCACTTATAGCATTTGATATTGTTGAAAGTTGAAATTTTTTATGATTCATTATGCTATTAGTTGACTGAAGAGAACAACAATCCTAATACTACAAAAATTACTAAGAAAATGATATGTAGGACCACAGTTGTTCTAACTTGACTCAATTTTTTTATCAATTTTAAATTTACATCATTCACTTCTTTTAAGAAATAAATTTCAAAGTTGAAATTTGTTAATTTGTTAATTTCATTCAAATAATTCTCTACCTTCTCAAATTGATTATGTTTTACCCTTGTGTGACATTCTATCCTCTTTTGGCAATTAAGTTGATCAAATAGGACTAATTTAAAGGATAAATCGATAAATTTATTTCTAAAATCTTTTTCCTTGTATAAAAAAAATCCATTGATAACATGAGAAATGGTGAAAGATAATGTTAGTTCTATGATTTTTTTGGGGGGTCATTTTAATATTAGAAAAATAAATTTATGCTGAGTTTTCTCAGTTTATCCTTTAGTTAGGGCCTATATAATGTATTTAACGGCTAACTTAAGGGTTATATTGAATTAATTTAGAAAGTTGAGGGTTTAATTAAAAAACAAAAAAAAAATTAACTGAAGGACTTAATCAAAAAAATAAAAAGTAGCCCTTATTTAAACATAATTTACTCTTTTAAATAATAGTTTGGCAAGCATGTTCACCATGACATATTTATAGGAGTTAGAGTGACGGTTACTTGGTTTGGTAGTTATTGATGTAAGAAAAAATTATTATTAATGGAATCATAGCGTAGTTTTGTTAATAGAGAAAAAAGAAAATTGATGTTTAGTTAATTTGTTTCTCAGTTCCATTAATTCAATCCATGTTATTAGTTATTATTAATTTGTTTCTTAGTTTCAGTAATCTACTTTTATGTTACCTCTGTTAATATTAATTCAATCCATATTATTTTTATAAAGGTTAAAAATGTCAAATGTTAACTCTCAAGCACCAGTTAACTCTGAAGTACCTGTTAATTCTCAAGTACCCGTTAACTCTCAAGTACCATTTGAGAGTGACGCGTCACAACATTCATCGCCAGCTACAAACTCACCTATGAACTCACTGTCTCCCCTCTCTAATCAAAATGTTATTGACTTAGAAGAAGAGTCTAATACTTGTGGAGGAACTAAAAGGAAAACTAGTGTTGTGTGGGAACACTTAAAGAAACAACAAGTCAATGGGTGTGGAAGGCAATATGTAATTATTGTAATAAGCATCTTGGAGGTGATTCAAAAAATGGAACTAGGCATCTTCATGATCACCATAAGAGTTGTACTAGGAAAAAAGTGATGGACATGAGGCAAAAAGTGTTAACTAACAATTTTAGTAGAGAGAGTCAAAAATGAATTCTTATATTTTTGATCAAGATTTTGCTAGGAAAGAGTTGTCACATGTCATAATCTTGCATGAATATCCCCTCTCTATCGTAGATCATGTTGGTTTTAAACGATAAAATTTTGAATATCCCCTCTCAATTTGAGAAAGCGTTCGAACGCAGCTAACAATTTTTTTCTTGTCCCTCCATACTCTGAACCTAGAGAGAGAGAGAGAGAGAGAGAGAGGGAGGGGGAGATGGCTTCGATGTGCAGATCAGCAGTAATGGCAGGTGCGAGGTCCCTCACAGCTCGCTCATCCAAAACCCTACTTCCCAAATCCAAAACCCTACTTCCCAAATCCCTATTTTCCCCAAAATCCACACCCCCATCTCCATTCTCTTCTTCCTCAAGACCCATCCCCTTCTCTGCTTCAAGGTAAAACCCCTTTGCTTCTTCTTTCATACATGTGTGTATATATATATGTATCTATTTATGTAAGTAGTTGTATTGGCTTTCAGGGTTGTTTCAATGCTGGCAAGTGTGGAGTCAATGATGCCACTTCACAGCGCCATTGCTTCTGCTCGTCTCAGGTCCAACATTGCCGTTGATTCCTCCTGCTGGAGCTTGCTTTCTGAAGGTACTTTCCCTATTATCTTTCTTTTCGAAATGAATTTATTCGTAATTTTCGAGCTAAGTAGATTGTTTATTCGTATATCAACAAATACAATATGAATCTTGTAAGTTATGCTTCATGTTGACGTTAATTGGGTTTTTTGTTCTTTTAGTCTACATTTGAATTATTCTTTTTTTTTAAGAGAGAGAGAGAGAGAGAGAGAGAGAGAGAGAGAGAATTTTTTTTGTAATATTAGTTATCAGTACTTGGTTTTTTAAATGCATCAATGGGTTTAGCATTAAAATATATTCAAACATTTGGTATAGTTCACTGTGCTAGCTTGTAATGGTTAATGAATTGAGTTTTGTTTTTTAGTCTACATTTGATATATCGGTTATCAGTATTTGGTGTTTAAATGCATTACCGGGGTTAGAAATCAAACATTTGATAATGGTGAATAATGACTCTTGTTTTCTGCACGATGACTATTCTGACTAGTTGATCTACCTGTTGATATAGGATTTGCAATACCGTTGTGACAAGGTTTGCCGGATTGATACAAGGCAATAAGTGCATAGGATTTGTTTCCATATCTTTTTGAGAAGGAAAAAGTCCTTAAAGTTTAGAAATTGTTGACATTAAGTTTTGCAGCTTGTGTAAACTTTTTTGTTCAAGTTGAGTGATGCCATTTACTTGAATTGTTAGTTGATATCCCAATGTAAGTTCCTTTGGTGGTTTTATGATTCTGCCATTGTGAAATTGCTTTTGTAGGCGAATTGCATGATGTGTAATTGCTACGAGCAACATCTATTAGGTCTTTATCCCTTTCAGGTTTCCTTGGATTATAAAAAATTGTGTATCACAACATGAGTTTGTGCATATTTCAAGATATCACTGTTTATAAATGGGTTTGTTTTTTTTTTGGGGGGGGGGGCGCCTTGGTTGACATATCGTTTCTATTCAGCATTAATAGCCTTATGTCAATGTCTTCTCTTGGGCTGTTTCTTTGAGCAAATTATTGAGGCTTCACATAGAAAGCTAGACCTTATTTACATGTTATTTGCTTTACTAAGTTTGCGCATCTCAGTTATTGGCAATAATACATTATTGGAAGTGTTGATGGAGAATAAGGATGAAATTAGAACTTTTAGTTGCTAGAATGTTGAAAATTTAGCACCCAACACATGCAATGAAGCTATAGACGAGTAGCCTTGGGCAATGAGTTAGCGAGGAGACTGGCTATTACTCAATATTAGTTTGTCCCTTTATATATATAAGCATATGTACTAGATGGTTAACCTGTGGGATCCTAAGAGTTTGTTCAGTGGCTATTCCTGTCTATCTTGGACATAATAAGGTTTTTGATAAAAAGTATACACTAATTCACACTCGATCTTCACCTGTACAAGGCCAATTGCACATTTTTATGATGTAGCTTCATGGGGATCTTGTAATGTGGTGTGATATTGTCTTTGGATTAAATCCCATCCTCATATTAATGGGGAAGCAAGCAACTACTAATGTTCTTAGCACTCAACAACTTTACCATTCTCTTTTTAGTGAAGGGGTTCTTCCACTAATTATTTTTGTATTTTTCTTTGTGGCCTTTCCCTAGACTTTGCATTACCTCGGTGACACAGACTCCAGGTTCAGTCACTTCAAACCTAATCAAAGCTTGCATATGAGCGGCCTCTTTTACTGAAAAATTTGCCAGGGAAAACAGTTGATAGGCTATCTGTGGGCCTTCTAGTGTGTGAACTTTCACACAAGCGAGAAAATATACATGCTTATTGAAGATTTTTGACATGCTATAGGTGATCTTTGCTTTTTTAGAATTCCAGAAGATGCCACTGAATGTTTTTTGTGACTTGATACTAGCTGTGTTATATGAGGTGTAAGATTACCTTGTTCTCTTCTTGATTTGTTACGGTGCGTTAGTTTTTAGTTTTTCCGCCCAATGATCGAAAAACAGGTCCTTCTCTCTCTCTACCTTAATTGTGGGTTGTGGGATCAAATTAAGACCATGCTACATGAATTGGTTTTCACCAGTCAGAGAGAGAGAGGGAGAGAGAGTTTTCTGTTTACCACCTGAAATAGTGTGCTGCAGCACATCACAGCCATTAGCTGTTGTTTGAAAGCAGGTTGGTTATGCTGCTGTTTGTAGGTCAGTTATTGTTGATGTCTCAAATTGGCCTCGATGGACGAGGATTCTCTGCTTCACTTACTTTATCCAGCCTGTGCTTTTGGACCCACTGTTGGATGAAGAAAGTGCTAGAGAGAATCTAGGTCCCAGCAAAATACTGTTCAATTTGACTGCCACAGGGATATATCCAACAATATTACATAATTGCATGTTGTTTGTTTAGGGAAGATAAAAATACCTGGACTTCAATATTATCAGCCTAGTAAAGCAGTCAAATTGGTATGTTCACTATTCAAAATAAAAGTAGGCCAGTGTTAGCTTGGTATGGTATGCCAATCAAACAACTATCGATCACAAAATTGTAAGACTCAGAGAAAGAAATAAGCATCTTTTCTTTATTTAGCGATTCTGGCTTCGAGTTGCAACTTGCAATTCAAGCTGAGGATGAATTTTTGGAGTTACCTCACCCTTGCAGGATGCGACCCATTTTCTCTCACTCGAGTACGTAACTATAATCTTTTCATTTCTTTTCTTGTCTGTAATGAAGAGGGAGAGACATTTATGTTTGGTTGAGTTTTTTTTTTTTTTTTTTTGAATTTTTTGAAAACCTAAATTGGTTAAAAAAAAAACTCAATAATCTCTTATGGTTTTTTTATTTTTTGGAGTGGAGTTTTTTGTTTTTAATATATATTTTTTATGTTTATTTCATCAAATTAGTTTCTAATTATTTAAAAATAAAAGTTCTGACCAAGAATTCAAATTAGTTTATAATTATTTTAAAATATCCAGATATTCGGTAAAAAAATATTCAGGTTATGTATGAGCGTATAGTGGGTTGAATAGGTGTTTGAATTATTAAAATACTATTTACTATTGACTAACTGAATAAATTAAAAATAAAAATTATTATTTAATATTGACTAACTGGATAAATTAAAAAATATAAATCACTCACCTTGTTTGGTTTTGGAATTTTGAATTCACTTTTTAGGAAATTGAGAGTTTTTTGTTTTTTGTGTATTTTTGTTTTCATTGAATTTGTTTAATATTTTAAGTAATTTTTTAATTTTTAGATATACTTAACATAAATATACTTACAAAGTACAATATTGTGAAAAAAATTTATAAAAATATTAATATAAAAATATATAAAAAAAAAGTTAGTTTGTATATTTTTGTATTATTGTGTATTTATTAATTTTTTAAAATATTTTATTTTTTAGGTAAGGTAAATTAGAAATCATCACATAAAAGACTAATCTATTTTATTTTATAATAAAATTTGACTGCTTTCATTGCAAGGCTTTTTAATGTGAGCCATCAATATTTTTGGGTGAAGCATTAATAAATCTTAAAATATGATTTTGTGAATTATTTAGTCTTTCATTTTTTCTTATGAATCCAAATGTTACATTAAAGTGAAAATTATACAAAATGAATCATCTGCACATTTGAGTTTAATTTTTAGGGATGAAAGTGGGTTTCTCCGAATATGAAATTACACATTTGGGCAATTCATATTATAGAGGATGTGGATTTTTTCTTCTCGTGGAACAAATCTTACATTACGAATAAGAATATAACATTCCAATGTAACACACTAAAAAATTTATCAGGATACTTTTTTCAAATGTAACACAATTCAATGTAACACACAAAATTTGTTTTTAGTGTCCTTCTGGGAAATTCTGTCGCGACCCGAACTCGGTACCAAAAGTTCGGTGTCGCAACAAGATAATAAAAATAAAATAATTTTAAAATTTTTGTAGTAGTAGCGTGAGCGGATAAATCCAATAAACTAAAGTAAAATAAATGGGTACGAAAAAAAAAGAGGAAAATAGTCATTTGGGTTTTTATTTTATTACAAAAGTTCGATTAGAAATACAGATAGTAAATAATTATAAAAAAAAACACAGCCAATTCATCCCTCATCTTGATCCTGTTAAATCTTGTCACCTGAAAGGGGTAACAGTTATAAGCACATATCAGAGTGAGAAATATTATACTGTGAGTATAGGGGCATAAAATGACCATGGATCGTTATTTAAGCTAAAACCTTAACATAACTTAATTTGAATCAATAAATTATTTAAGTGACACAAACTGAGTAGTTATTTAAACTAAATTATTTAAAATAACTTAATATGAACAAATAATCATTTACGCAGCAAAACTGAGATTAGGTAAATAATTAACTATAACTACGGTATAGAACAAAACAAAGGTCACTCAAATGACAAACAGAACAGAGGTCAATGGATTCATGACAAATATGACAAATAGAGGACCACAAAGTGGTCAAATAGAAGTCAATGGTTTATTTAAGTCCCCCAAGACGTGGGACTCCCGTAGTGATATTTAGAGAAAATAATTGTTTATCAAACTATTATCAAATAATTTCTTAAATTTAAACAAACATAACCATGAGTTTTAATTTAAGCAAATAGAGTTCAGAAAATAATTCACGTAATTGAAATATTAACATAATTGTAAAACATACATTATATAAAATAAGTTGTGGTAACTCAAAACATTCGTAAAATATATTATGATAACTCAAGACACATATAAAATATATTATGGTAACTTAAGATATAATATAACTCACTCTTAATATAAATTTACGCCTATTTTCCCGTGCTCCCAAACCTCTCGTGCTATCCCTTCTCCTACTCTTTTCGTTGATTGCCATGGTTGCTTCTACTAGACCACCCTATTTATATGCATCAAAACGTGAAGCCCAAGTTGATTATGTATTCACCGAAGGCGCCACCTGTCCTTGTCCCTTGACTCTTACCTCACAAATTTCCCAAGGGTCATTTAAGTCGTTGGCTCTAGAAAATTAGATTTCGCTGCTTATAACTCTTAAGGGTTATCACCCTCTTTGGTAATTCACAATAATCTCTAAAATTATGTATGATTATAGGTTAGGTTCACGCCTAAAAATCTCATTACCAAGTTATAAAACATCACTTACCGCTTACTAAACTATTTAATATTAAAAATGCAGTGTCCCACAATCTATCATTTTAAACAAAGATTTCTAATAATTTAAAATTAATAACAGTTAACGTTTCAAACCATAAGTTTTCATTAAGCACTTTTTGCTATACTAAGGAATTGTATTTATTTATTTATCATTATTATTATTATTATTATTAATACAATCACGGTAAAAATTCGGGTGCCACAATTCTCCTCTCCTTAAAAGAAGTTTGTCCTCAAACTTGATGTACCTTGGTTTTCGGAGAGGTGTGGGTATTTGGCTTTCAGTTTCCCATGTTGCTTCTTCGACACGATAGTTTCTCTATAAGATTTTTACAAGAGGTATAGTCTTGTTTCAAAGGACCTGATCACGACGATCGAGAATCTGTATAGCTTGCTTTTTATAAGAGAGGTCTTCTTGAACTTCTAGGTTCTCATAATCGACAACATGCTCTGAATTTCGAAGATATCGACGGAGTATCGAAACGTGAAATACATTGTGGACATTGGACAGTTCGGATGGAAGCGCGAGGCGATATGCCACAGGACCAATCCTTTCTAGTATCTCGAATGGCCCGATGTAACGTGGATTTAACTTTCCTCGTTTTCCAAATCAGATAACTCCTCTTGTTGGTGAGATCTTTAGGAACACATGATCACATATTTGAAATTCTAAGTTTCGTCTCCGTGTATCTACATAGCTTTTCTGGCGGCTCTGGGCAGTGCGAATTCGCTGTTGGATG